AAAGCAACAAGAGCTGAAAAAGAACACAACTTTCTACATTTACTTTTGGCAATGGCCTGGAGGAATTTCCAACTGGTTTTCAACTGGGACCCTTTTTTCGGAGGGGCGCAAATGAAATGCAAATGTTGTACGGGGGGCTTATCGGTAATCTATTGACTGGAAATTTGCAACCGATAAGGCGGGGCACTATTAAGCCATAAAACGCATGCAAATGAAGGCGTTGAAATGCGCATATACATAAGGCCAAGAGGAGTTTTCGGGGCTGGTCACTTCACTTAGCCGAAAGTTAAAGGGCGCAAAAACTAACGCGTTTCGGAAAAGATAAAACAGTGGCGGGTAGTTTGGGGGGGTCGGTCGGTCCGGCGGTCCGTCGGTGGCAGCTGTCTGCTTCGGAGGGGGTAAAATTCAACTTTAACTTCAACGAGGCCAACGGCTGACTGGCAATTAATTATGCCCAAAGTCGCTCATTCTCACTCACTCGATCTGCCCTCTCCCTCTGCACTACTCGCCCCCTCCCTTTCTAGTAGCGGACATATGTTTATTTACTTAATTTACTTAATGACACACATCTACAGAGGAGCACGAGTCACACAAAGACACGCAGAGAAAAGACTTAACTAAAATAAATTCTTTATTTTAGATAAGTGTGGTCTAAAAACATTTAAACATCAAAATATTAATAATGTTATTTTTAAATTATTTATAAAAATAAACTAAAGCTAAACCTCTGACAAAAAAAAATATTTTCAAATTTATTTCGAATATGATTACTCTGTTACTGACACTAACATAACTCATTGTATTTTTGAAGCTTTTTTACAGTCATACTGTAAACATACTGTACAATTAACAGTTGATACTGTAAACAAAAGCCTGAGTCATTAAAGCCACAAACAAAGATTAACTATAAATACTTCTATGAATAACAATTTCTAGACAGTTTTTACAAAATTAAATCCCTATAAAACTAGTTAAAACCAAATACCAATGCAATTTTTTCTCTCCGTGTATGTACACACATTCTTTTTCGGGTGAGGTCATCCAGGCAAGGAGGAGCAGCCCATGTTTGTCTAATAAATAACATTATTAATTACCAGTGCAATTAAGCATAAGTACGAGTGGGGCACCCTCGCCAACATAGATACAAATTCAAAACCCGACGCAGGCAGAAAAAATAGACGACCAACTGCACTTGATGACCCAAATTTGAGTTCATTGAGTGATATATGAATGCATTAATCTTAGTTTATGTTTATTAGTTTGTTTATCAAATTTGAAGCGAGCTGAAAAACCGAAAATGTAGCTAAAAAACTGAAAACTGATACCGCCAAGAAATGCATAAAAGATCAGAGCTGTGATCTCTCAACTGAGAATTTATGATCAACATAATACGATTTTATGTTGCTTTTATGGGATCATGGGATATTTATGACCGAAGGCAAAGTTTTTAAATGGAAAGAGCTTTATTTTTATAAACTTTTGCTATTTTAATGTATTCCTTAAAACTAAAGAATGAGTCTGGCCATTAATCTTCAGCCGCTTGTTATTCGCTTAAATATGGCAACTGTCACGAGCAGGACAAATCAGGCAAATACTAACGAGAAATTGCTGAAAATTACAGAGCAGAGCAACTAGAGAGTTTCGAAAGGGGACTTCTAGTTCAGTCTAGCCATGTCACAACGTTTAATCTTTATTAATTACAGTGAAATAATAAGTAGATCCCTCCGACGTGCACCCTTCCGTTTCCCCACCACACTTCTCAGTTTCTCAGTTTCCCTGCCTGTCTATTTCTCTATTTCTCTCCTCTTTCTCTGACAATGTCAGACGCACCACCGACTGATTAATGCCGGGGCTAAAAGAGCCAAACAAGCGAACATGCCACAAGCAGCCGAACGGGAAACTTTCGGTCTGCTTTAGGAATTTTAGCCATGCACTGAGATAAAAATATTCAAGCTTCTAAAAACTATACAAAATGTTCCTCAGAGAAAAATAATTGTCACATAGTACTTGTTATTTCAAGAATATTGTTATGATAAAATTATAAAAAGAAATTAAATGAATTTTATCAGCCACAAGTATTTATTTAATAAATAAAACTAATTTTAATAACTATTAAGTTATTGTAAATAAAAATTTAAAAAATTGTATAATACGAAATCTTATATCAACTTTGTAAATGAGTAACAATCATTTCGAAGTGTAGTAACAAGTACAATTTCTGCCAGCTTAACCCATTTTATTGGTTTAGAAAATTGGTTTAATAGGGTTTTAAATTTTTTTTTAAATATTTAAAATTAAAATAATTTTTTTTAGTGTCTTGGGCAGAGGTTTCCCATGTTTTGTTGCGTTCTAGTGGGATGGCATTCATCACTTTGGCGTTTCTCCGCATGCAGAGCAACTCCCCAATTTGTTGGGTGCCAAAAAGCGCCCAGCGGGTGAGAAAAAGCGGCGAAAAACCCAGCGAAAGGCGGAGAAAGGCAATAGGAGTGTGGGGGAAAAAAGAAAATTAGATAGCAGCGTGTGCGGGGCCAGCATTTGATCCTTTTTTAAGGTCAGAAGCGAAGGCTACAAAACCGCGCCTCGCCTAATTACGCATCTAATCAGCGGGAAGGTGACCCCAAAAAAGGGGAACAAACCAAAAAAAAATAAAAACATCTGCCTAAACGGGCAGCGAGTGAAAACTTGCGGCTTGTCAATCAACCGAAAGCTGTTCAAATATTTAAACAAAACTCAGCCTCTCAATGGATATTTGCACTTCAACTTAGCTCAAACTGCGCATGCAAATGCAAATGCAACAAATTCAAATAAATTCCGCGGGGACAGGACAATTAAATATGCGCATAACTGTTGATAATCATCGAATCAATATGCTGACAATTTTCTCACGCATTCGCAAGACTCGAAAGATACGCACAGAGATAGATATTCAAATGAGTTGCATCCCAAATACAGACAAGGATCCAGGACGAGGGTTCATCATCATCATCATCACGATGATGATGCTGACATCAGCTCGAGCGACTGAAGTCAATGAGGAAAGGAGGGTTTCCAGGCAAAAACGATTTGTTCTGCTCGAACCCTTCCTCTCTCCCGTCATAAAAAAAAAGGATTTGTAATTTGAATGTTAAATAGCAGCAGCCGCAGCCCTCAATTCCTCCCTATAGCTCTTAATTGTATTCACTGCTGAATTAATTCTTACTCTTTTCTTGAAAATCGAAAGGACTTGCCCTGTTTGCTTAGGGTTTCCTTTCATTTCCATTCAATTCGATTCGCCGCGCCGCCTTTCAAGTCCCCGAGAAAAATCTATAAAAAAATCTATTAAGAAAACCGATTTTTTTTGTATTCAGTTGATTTCTTCTCCAAAGTTTCCCTGGCTGCTTAATGGCAATTGACAGGCGCAGTCATATGTAAATCTTAGGGCGTGGCGGTATCGCCGTTCAACCAGCTGCCGTTGGTCTCCGATTTCAAAATCGGTAAGGGAACCGAAGGAGAGATTAAATAGGGCGAAGCCTAAACATGTTTTCACTCTTTTCTAACGGTTTTTACCAAGGAAAAATATGGGAAAATCATTATGGAAATTTGGAGAAAAATAAGTAAATAAATAACCCAAAATAAATTATAGGAATAATGACGATTTCAATAAATACATTTAAAATACATAAGACCGTTACGCTGAGATGGGAAAATAAGTCCTCAAAACCTTAGATTTTTATATTGGGATATTATTTATTTTCTTTAAAGAGCATTTTCTATATATCACTAATTCTTAATTTCAAATGAAGTTAAAAATCTATGCTACAATTAAAGAAACAAATTATAATTTTGACTTTTTAAATTGTAATCCTCTTTATAAAAATTGATCTGAAAAGCATTTAAAAGGAGTTCCAATAAAAATATCTCAAAGAAACCTGCCAACGAAATTCAATTTCAAATTCACCAAATCAAGCCGTAATCCTTTGGCAGGATTTATTGCAACTTTTCTATTTGCTTGCCTTGAATTGAATGGACAGCCAGCCCCACCTCGAATCGCTCAGGAAATGTTGATTGCATTTTGAAAGGGGGTTAAACTGCTGAATTGCAGCAATAATATTGCAACCGACATCGATATGTGCCATTTGATTTGCATAATTCAGCACACAAACAGAAAGGAAGACCCAACCCTAATGCAAAAAAAAGAACTAGCAAAATATTGACAGGACCTGGGGATTGTGAAAGGAAAAAGGGAAAGGGAAAGGGACAAGAAGTGATATGGAGAAAGAGACAAAGAGCCGCTTAAGCTGCAAAACAGCCGCGCCCCTTCGGCTGTCTGTTTGTGTTTTTGCAAATTCATCGATAATTGGCAATTTGAAATGGCAACAACAGCTAAAGACAGGGGTTGCTTTCGACTTTCGACACATGAGTACGGGGCCGAACCCATATTGACTTTGGCACTCTTGAAGAGAACCCCGGATTCAGGACCCTAAAACCCGGACTCGTGTCAAGGGCGCATTGCAAAAATTGCCAAAAAAAAATAACAATAACGAGAAACAGGGAAACAGGGAAACAAGAATTCGCACAATAGATAATGACTTAATGACACTTTAATTGTAAACAAGTTAATTCAAGCCATTGATGGCCAGTCACAACCAATTATCGCATCGATTCGGGCCAAAAACGGTGGCAGCAATTAGTGTCAGATATTAATATTGGCAAAACAAAGCTGAATGATAATTATCGTCGCAATGGAAACCAGATTCGGGGCTCATAAATTCAAGACAAACTCCTCGAGATGAGATGTGAAATTAATGGGCCATGTCTGTCTGGCAAATGTTTTCGATATTTTTTTAACAATTTCCAAGTTGCTTGAGCTCGATAAAACTATTTGTTCGTTTTGATGGATGTGTCCATTCACACCAGATATATCTCGTGTGGAGAGTTAAGTTTTCCCCACCCCACAAAACACAGTGTATATTCCTATATAAATTTCTAACAAATGTCTTCTCCCCTTCTTCTATTTACAGGGGAAAATCAGTACGACTTCTGGGCCCCGAAGGTAAGCAAACAGCCAAACGGAGAAACTTGGCCAAAAAAGGCCAGGCAGAAACTTACGAAACAAAACAAACATATTGCAACTTTTACTTTGGATCTGAGGGCTCAGTCTTTTGGGCCCCCGAGGTCGGTTCGCTTTCAAGTTTCGTTTTTTGACAGCTGCTGTCAAATGCTGAAAGGCAGCCCCAGCTCCCCATTCGAGCAGAAATCTAAAACAAGTCACACACGAAAAGAGTCGGAGTTAAAGTTGGTGTTCGAGTAGGAGTCGGAGTTGAATCAGAACCAGGCTGCAGTCTCGGTCTTTGAGTCTCTGGGGCCAGGGCATATCGCCAAAACATCTCTATACCAACACACATATGGGCACAAACAGCAGGGTCTAATCCAATAGAAGTCTAAAGAATTTTTGAAATTTTTAACAGGGTCTTAGACAAACATAAATGATCCATTCAATCTCATTACAAATAGTAACACATAGTTTTGGATTCACATCGTTTAACATTTAAAACTTGTATATATAAACATTTATAATGCCAGCTCCCTCCAAAAAAAAATCGTGTATGGAAGCTATAAAATGTAATAGCTGTATCTTAACTTAGTCGGTTGGATTACTTTTATTTATGGTATTCTTACAAATGTTTCTTAAAAACTAATTATGTTATTATGGCTCTCCGTCGTGCTCTGAAACTATTAAAAAGTAAAACCATTAGCATTAATAATGCTGTAAATTACCAATGTTTATGGCACTTGTAAGTTTTATAAAATCATAATATGGCATTTCATTCTGCATTTAAATGATCCCTACTATTATTTTAACCCTCGCTGTAGTCGAGTACACCTTATGGCCCGGCTATGTTCCTTAACCTTCTCTAAGCAAGTTCTCAAAACACAAAGAGAGAGGCAGAGAAAAACAATGAAAACATTTTTATAGTTTTCATGCACGAAGTCCACGAAATGAAAAATTCTACAATTTAAACTGACATTTAAATTGATAGTTCAAGAGATGCACACGACAGATACGAAACAGGGAGAGCAGCCGAGGCCTCGCACATACCCTCGGATACAAAACGAGTCCATAAGTATCTGTATCTACGTCTATGCACTCCGCACATGATGGGAATGCATATGCCCGATGCACAGTTTTTGCGGCCTGAGCTGCTGATGATGTGGGGCTGCGGAAAGAATAAAACACTGATGCTGATAACAAAAGGCACACACAAAAAAAAACAATTGCCAAGCGAAGAACTCTGAAAAATATTATTATTATGATTAACCGCATACGAAATGTTGGGCTGTGGTCGGGCTTTCTGCAGATGATGGGAAACTTTTTGAGTCTTGGAGCAGGGAATCTAAAACATCAAACCACAATGAATAGGTTTATTTGAAATTCAATTAGAAAATCAGTAATATCAAGTGCGATAAAAGCAATCTTATTCTGGAAAACCACAAGGAAATTATAATCAACTACACAATTCAACTCAAATACACTTTATATTTCAACAACAATGGTGTACAAACTAAAAGCAAAAAACACCACCGCAATCTCCAATGAATAACATTGTAGAAAATCTAAATTAAATTTTAACAGCACACAAAAATGTTCTTAAATCGTTGATTAAAACAAGGCAACAAGATTGTATTAGCCAAAATCAATCATGCATCCCAAAAACTTTCCAAAAATGTAAAACAATAATGTACACCAACGATTCCAACAACTCAACAACAATTCTGTTTTTAAGACACCAACATCTATTAACACAAACGAAACACAGCTTACAAAACAAACAAGAAGAAGTAAGACAACTTATAGGAAATGAACAACTTAAACAAGAAAACCTACACCACGAACAACCTTCACCAACAATCACCGCCAGATCCTCCAACATTGTCAAGTGTCATGTGCGTGTTCGCTATCACCCGAGTGCCGCAGATGGAGATACAAAGATACGGAGATAGGCAGACACCCAGATACACACTACACCAACGGCCAAAAGACTGGGAATAAATATCTATACATGTATGTATATATATATGGCTTTATAATATATGCCATACGAGTGGAGCATAGATTGGGCTACGGCGCTAATCTTATAATTAGCATTCCTGGCAGATAACAACAACAAGAACAGAGTCAGTGACAGGCGACTGCTGACTGGCGATTGCCGACTGCCGACTTGGACTACAAATAACAAACAAGTTGCAATTACAGCGCGGCAGCGGCAGTGGCAGCGACTGTGGCAGCACTCGACTGTTAATCGGGTTGCATGATAACTGCACATTAATTAAAAAAATAAAGAAAGAGCCAGTGAACGTGGGGGAAATTACAGATCCAGCTAATACATTTATGAAACGAAACGAAACCGAAAGAGTGCTAATTGAATTATTGCAACAAAGAGTTCGCTTCGTTTGTTGCCATTTCTGGTTGCACATTTAATTGCGCCACTGAAACCCCCCACCCCACATCTTCACCTCCAACTCCACCAATACTCCACCGATCACTTTTCCCCCGGAAAAAAACCCTTTCGAGCGTATTGCTTTCGCTTCCAGGAAGACCCACAAATGCCCAGACAAAGCCAGACTCCGTTCTAACGGTAAGCAGCTATAACAAAACCCAAAATAACCGAAAAAATATATATGGAGATGGGGGCCGAAGCACAGAGAGAAATAAATAACTATTTTTTATTGACAAAACGAAAAGACTTTCCTCAGTGGCTTAGACAGCAAACACATACTAATAAAGTTGGCTAACATGTCTGGTGTTTAAGGAACTGAGTTCGATTCCAATCAACGCCATATTTTTTTTTTTTTAAATTTTCAATTAATTTTACTATGTAAAATATTTGTTCGGTATTTGTTTATATACATTGATACAGCCTTAAAAAATTTATATTAAACAAAGACCAAAAATCGATGGTTGCTACTTTTATTTGTAAAAGACACTGGATTCTTACAATATTTTCTTTCCAGATTTTTTCTAATTTTTTTGTTGGCAAGAGTTAAATTTTTTTTAAACCCTTTTAAACAAGATTAAAAAGATTTTATGTTAACACAGCAGTCTCAAATATCAAATAACTCCGGTTCTAAATTTTAAAAATAAATAAACTTTAAAAAAATATGATTTATTTTAAGATTTTTCCCAGTGGATCGACAGACCCAAGTTCAATTTCTTCTCGTTTTTTGGGCAATTCATAAACCGAAAATAAAACACAGCAGAAAACGAAAAACTGTCAAGCTCAGTTTTCAATTGCTTCTGGCCCTGTAATCCGAGAGCATGTCCCAGACATTTGGATGAGGGACGGGGGGAATGGGGAACGGAGGGGATATTAGGCCATGCTGCGGGCTTAGTCACTTCTGGGTAATGTCCTCCAGCCCATATTAGTTTTCAAGTCGCCCCGGTCGCATTGTTGTGCTCTCGTTGATATGACGAGCACAACCCGAAAGATACAGATACAAAACACACACAGCACAGCACAGCTCGAGTATCTGCAAGTGCACGCAACACACACTGTAGTTGTTGGTCCCGTATCTGTGTATCTTTGTATCCGTATCTGCAGCCCATGCAATGTCTAGGGCCAAAAGGCGGTTCGGACATTTCAACAGCATGTCGCTTCATTTAAGTTTTTTGCATCAATGCACTCGTGACAATTTGTCATAAAAAAAAACAGAATGCCCAACCAGAAAAGGCCAACTGGCCAGAGGAGAAAAGTGTTGGGTGGACTTGTGTGATGTTACTTTGTGAGCTGCCCATCTGTTTGCGGAACTCCCAATTTAATTTAATAAGAACGAGAATGAACAGGGGAATGTGGTAAAAATACTTTAACTGATTCCTCGGAACCTCAAGTTGGAAATTCATAAGTAAAAACAACTTTTGGAGCTGATGAACTTTAATTGTTACACTAAAAAGAAGAATAAGAATACATACTGTTATTGAATAAAAATATTCTTTGATTAAAATTCTGTTTAATGCATATTTCTTCCTAATTTACATAAGAAAGGAAATGTGTTGATATCTCCAAATTAGTTGTTCATTGTTTCGAAAATTTATCTTGCATATTAACAAAACCAAAATCGAAATTTGGGTGAACTTCTAAGTTTTTATACCCAAAATACACATAAAACTCTATGACACTCCCCAAAAAGTTTATAACCATCATTAGTAGCAATCAGTGTTGCCATCTGGCACCTGAAATCCTCTCGAATAAATCCACATACTCATAATTTGCCCCCATTAAAAACTACCCAATAAAAAGCTAATTGCATGAATATAAAAACCATCTTTGGTATAAGCATCGATACCAAATTTGGGGTCACCTGCGCCCCCTGCGGAGAAAATCATGAGAGCTAAATGTCAGATTTGTGATCACTTAAACGCTAACATATGCATATTTATATAATTCATTTGGAAATATTTAAAGTCACACAAAAGCACGGCGCACTCAAAACATATATTAAATATCCAGATTTTACGATTCATAATGCGAGGGGGTAGTGAAGGTGGATTTTTATTACCAATCATTTTTAAATTTGTTGCCTTGCTGCTGCTGCTGCTTCTGCTTTATTTTATTTTTAATTTTTTTATTTTTATTATTTTTCCTTTTTTTTTGCTTCTGCTTCGTTGGACGGGTGCAAGCAACTTGTTATAAATATAAACACAGATACTTATGAAGGCGCATATAGACGTGCATACTCATATCCATCGGTATATATAGACGGACGTGTGTGCAAGTGAATTGATTGTAAAGCTGCCCGACCGACCGAGCGACGCGATTATTTACGGTTTATTTTCAACACTTCAAAAATAAACGCAGGCGGTACGAAGAAGGGAAAGTTGGGGGGGTGGGGGAGGGTGGTGCTGGGTGAAAGGGGGAAAGCGCAACATGAACTTCTATACCGCTCGCTCTCTCCCTCTCTTTCTCACTCAGACCCTCATTTTGAAACAAAAATATTGCATACTAATTTTAATACGTAACACGCGGCAGCCAAAAAAAGTGAAGTGCACAGAGAAAA